ACTTTTCTTCATACTACTTTGTTCCTCCAAATGTGCTTTCACACATACCCCAATTAATGGATCAGAGAGGAAAAATATTCTAAACTATAGCAGTTTTCAGAGCCCACTGACCTGAATGGTAACTGTTCACTGGAGAACAATGGCTCTGCAGTATATAAGCACTGGAATGTGAACCACAAAGTCAGTGAGAAAGCAGGAGAAAGACAAGGCTTTCTGCTCCTGCAAAGATTTATAAGCTTGAAAACCCTATACAGGGTCACTATGAGTAGAACCAATTCAATGGCACTTACTAACAGGAAGAATAGAGTAATACGTAGTGTCTGGGGTCTCAAAAGCTCAATGAGCAGCCATCCAAAGCTCAAATTAGAAGTATATGCAAAAGAAAGCACTCTTAATTAACAGTGGTCAAAGAATCTCTACAAAGACTCTTGATCAAAAGGGGAGAATGTGAAAGAGTATTCTAGAACTGAGGTGCTTGGCAAGATAGATGTTGAATTACCTTGGTCTGAATCAGAGCCTTTTTTTTTTTTTTTTCTGTGCTTAGTTTTGTTGGAGACACAAATATATGTACAATATGAGCAAAATACTTCTAAAATGTAATAATTTGGAAATGCTGTTAAATTTTGTAGGTTTTTTTTTTTGTTTTTTTTTAAGGTTTTTATTGTGGATTGAGTGAAAGTTTTCAGGGCACATCATCGGTTTCACATTCAAACATTCATATACCTTGTTTCATTACATTGATTATAATCCCCTCCACATACCATCAGTTAACAGAGTTTCTCTATATCCTCTAACGGTTTTTGGGGGGGGAAAAACTTTGCCTTTTTGGAATTTACAGTCTCGGCTTTTAGGGAAGGTTTTTACATTTATCTGTGAGTATCCAGGGCTGATGTATGGAATTACTAACCAGCATAACTGAATAATCAGATAAGGGACATTTTGCTATGTCTGCTAGGTGGCCAAAGTCTGATCCTCAGAGCCTATGGTTTGGACGGTCAGCAACGCTTGGGCCCACAGGGACTTGAACTCCTGACCGGGTCTGCACGGTCTGCATCCGATTCCCCCTTATTTATTATTTGTATAAGGGAGCCTTTTGTTTTTAACTTAAACTTTAGTTAGTCCTCTCTTCTGCCTTCTAAAGAATGGAGCCTATGATTCAGAACCTTGTAAATGTCTTACAAACAATGGAGGAAGCAAGGAAGGATATGGTTTGTGAAGTACATGTTGACCAGGGTGGAAGAATGCTTGTGCAGTATGCCCCAGGGGAAGACCCCATAGGTCCTTATTTCACAGGGTCAGTCTGGGCTGGCTGCAGGAAGTCTTAGTTAGCGGATTGGTTAGCTAAGTGTGCACCATTGCAGTTTGCTATTGTCTTGCAAGCATATGTAATCCCTGAGCCCTGTGATTGTGATCAAGGACTCCCTTCTCTACTTTTCTATGGAAAAGGCTCATCTCTTCTTCAGAACATCAGAGCACTCTGTGTTCTCCTGCTTCAAACGTCTCTATTCCTTAATAAACCACTTTGCTTTACTCCTAACAGAGTATTGACATTTTCTACTAGAACAAAACCTCAGAGTTGTTGGTAAAGTCTCCCTCTTTTTATGCCTATTGTCCAAGCCTCCAAGCTTGAGTGTTTCTGGTGATTCCATTAACCACCTTATACCTTTTCTTAATAATCCAATTTAGGTCATCAGAGTTCAGTTCTGTTGCTTAACAGAGGCATCCCATCTCCCACTTAAAGTACCTTCTGTTGTGACCCACAGGGTTTTCTTTAGGTCATTTTTAGTACACGGCCAGGCTTTACGACCTTGAAATCTGTCCATCATGGGTGATCCTACTGGTATCTGAAATACTTATGGCATAGTTTCCAGCATCCCAGCAACACACAATCCACCATAGTATGGCAAATGACAGGAAACTGCCAGAAATTCAAGCTGGATTTAGAAGAGGATAAGAAACAGAGGATTTCATTGCTGTTTTCAGATGGATCTTAGCTATAGTGAGAGAACCCCCAAAAGATGTTTATGTGTATTGTATCAACTACATGAAGGCTTTGAACTGTGTGGATCATGGCAAACTATAGATAGCATTGTAAAAGAACAGGAATTTCAGAATACTTCATTGTGCTCATGCAGAACCTGTGTCTAGATCAAGAGGCAGCTATAAAGAGATAATAATGGTCCCAAACTGGAAAAGCTGTGTGGCAGGCCTGCATCCTTTACCTTATTCAGTCTTTATGCTGAACAAATAATCTGAGAAACCAGACTATATAAAGAATACAGCATCAGGTCTAGAGGAAGACTTACTAACATATAACACACATAAGACACAACCTTGCTTACTGAAAATGAAGACAGCTTTAAGTACTAGTGATATTCAAGAGTAAAATCTCCAGTACATTGCACCTGAAGGTGAAAAATACAAAAATCCTCCCAACTAGACTGATAACATCATGTCAATGGGGAAGAAACTGAAACTGTCAATAAATTTCATTCTACTTGGCTCAGCAGTCTTTGTTCATGGAGGTAATCAATGAATCAAATGATGTATTACATTGGGCAAATCTGCTGCCAAAGACCATTTTCAAGAAAAGATGCCTCTGTGACGACTAAGCCATGGTATTTTCAACTGCTTCATATACATGCAAAAGTTGAATAACAAAAAAGAAGACTAAAGAATGCATGCATTCAAACTGTAGTGGTAATGATGAATGAGTATATACTATGGGCTGCTCATGCTCATACTATGGACATGGTCTCAGGACGGTGACCGTGCCTGGAGGAGGACATTATGCTTGGTAAAGTGGAGGGCCAGCCAAAAAAGAGGAAGACCCCCAATGAGATGGATTGATATCGTGGCAGCAGCAATGGGCTCAAGTGGAACACCTGTGAGGATGACACAGGACTGGGCAGTGTTTTGTTCGGTTGTTCACAGGGTCACTGTGGGTCGGAACTGACTCGACAGCACCTAACAACTACAGACTGCCAAAGAATGAACTAATCAGTCTTAGAAGAAGTGCAACCCGAATGTTCTTTAGACGCAAAGGCGACTCACTTATTTTGGGCACATCATTACAAAAGGACATTATGCATGGAGATGGCGTACGTAAAGAAGGGGACCCTCAGTTGGATGGATGGACACAACATCAATGATGGACTCAAACCTGCCAATCATCCCTGTCATACTTAAGGTCAACCTGAGTCACAGTCAACTCAATGGCAGTGAACAATGAAAGCATATAAAGTACTTGCAAGTGTAGTGTTATGTGAGTGCAAGTTCTCCATACCATGTAATTGTACATAGTACATAGTCTGAATCATTCTTGTCCTTAGGCTAGTTCACTTCCAGTGTCACTGATATGTTAACAGTTGAGAATCTTGGCGCCACCCCTCCAAAAGGCAAGAAACAATACTTTCTGAGCCATCACTTTGATGATGTCTCCCTTGTCCAGTTACTCTGAAAGCTCACATGCATTTATCAACATTTCAGATGATCGAGAGGCTGGGAGCGTATTTCACTCTGAACACAGGCACACACATCTCATTTCTGGTATTTCCCCTTGGAGATGTGCTTTATGAGTGGTCTACTCTACCTTAACCTACTTAGAGTAGAATTCCTTGTCCTCTGAATAGACCTCACAGAGGACAAAGTGATCTCATCAATTTTGGTTTTAAATCTGGCTCTCTCCATTATAGTGCTTTAGAAAGTAAAGATATGAGAGGCGAAAACCATACATTTTATTTATGAAATGTTAAGGTATTCACAAAATGCCAACGAAAACCATTAGTTATTTTACTCAAAATTTTTTCTTTCTTCCCCTTCTATCTTAATTTCAGAGCCTCTGAAGCCTGAACTTTCCCCACATAACAGGAGAGAAGACCCCTCTCTCAGACAGACTCTCATTCAGTCTTATTCTTGGTGTTGCACTATTAGCTGTCTACCTTTCGTCTCTGTTGTGCCCTGACTGGAACTTAGCAAATCTATGGTTATTCATGTTTAGAATTTTGGGGGCTATCTGTTCTGGCCCCCCTATAGAAGCCTGCACAAGAGATAGAACCAATAGATGGAAGTACGGAATCCTGATGTCAGCCAAGAAGTAAGTAAAGGGTAGTGTTAGGGAAACAGCACATTGTTGCTGTTAAGTACTGTGGAGTTGGTTCTGACTAGACTCGTAGTGACCCTGCACAGGGGTTTCCGAGGCTGTAAATCTTTACGGGAGCAGAGCCCCTCATCTTTCTCCCGCTGAACCGCTGGTAGTTTCGAACTGCCGACTTTGAGGTTAGCAGCCCGATTTGTAACCACTGTGCTACCAGCACTCCTTAAATAGCACATTAAAACCCTTAAATCTAAAGTGGGCAACTCCATTTTCCTCAACTAAAGTAGTGGGTTGGATAACGCTTTTTAAAAATAAGAGATACTGTATGTTTTGTGTACACAGCACACAATATTTGGTACATTTTATTACACATAAGTATATAAACAGATTTTGGGAAAACTTTCAGATTATTTCCCTATATGACTGACATAGTCAAAAGAAAGCAAAAAGAGTGGGGGAAGGGCACAATTTCATAGCCCATTCAGAATTTGAACACAAAGTGGGAAGGTATTTTTATTCATAAAGCCTCAGTAGCGCTGCCAGCCACAGGCAAGCCATCCAAAGCTGACAGCCCCAAAGAGGAACTAGTAGTGGCTGCCTGTATCCTCCAGAGTCATCAAAGCTGTTGGTCCCAACCTAGCTTAGTCACATGGGTCCATTAGAGCCTATGTTTTCAAACATAGTCATTGAAATTTGTAACGGACGTAAGTCAGAACGACATGAAATTATAAGATAGGCCACTTACAACACACGGAAGAGGGCTGTCCCTATACACAACAGGGCTCACAATCTCAACTGGTCCTTTAAAGTGACAAATAGTTTTGGAGTAACAGTATAAACGAGCAACTCAAATATGGGGTGGGGGGAGCTATACTGCAATATATCATTACTGAAACCTTTTCTTCTAGGTAAGGGTTTCAGAGAAGCCACGAACAGCTTTTATATCACAAAATGGTCCATATCTCCCAAAAATATCTTTTGATTGGATAGTAAAATAGTTCACTTTGGAGACTAAAAACTGAGATACACTACAGGCCATTGGGAGCGGTAGAGCTTTCATTTCTGCAATTTTCTTCCAAATCGGCTCATCCGTTGGGCTCTCGTGGCAGAGGAAGAGGTGGTAGCTTTCCACAGGAGCACACTTGGGATTGATTTTGGTGATATTCCAAGTCAGGGCGACGCCTCTGGGCTTCATCACCCGTTTCACTTTGAGCTCAGGCTTCTGGGGAGGAAGGGTGTCTCGAATTTTCTCTACCAGCTCAGGTAGTGGTGGTGGTGATGGTCCTGGGAGAGGTGGCAGGTGCTCAAAGGACCCAGGAACCTAAAAACACATTTGTTAACAAAGTTTCGCCAGCTGGTTTGATGGGGACTATTTTAATGTGGTCATCTATAGTTATACAAGTAGATACTGGTTCTCGTCCCCTGATCCAAAGATGAAATAATAAGAACACCAGAAGGCTTCAGCAATATGTGAGGTTTCCAAAGAAGGTAGGAGAGTGGCCAACAAATACACAAAAGATGCCCAATGTCATCAGTGGCTGGTGGTTGTCTGCCACTTAGTCAACGCCAACTCACAGTAACCCTGAGACAGGGGAGGACTGCCCCCCAGGGTGTCCAAGTGTGTAACTTTTACAGACTACTGGTATGGTGCTGGAGAATAACCAGTGGACAGTTCACCACAAGGCCGGTGGTTCAAACCCACCAGCTGTTCCTTGGAAACCCTGTACAGGGTTGCTATGGGTCGGAACCAACTTGATAGCACTTCACAACAATCTTCTGGAAGCAGACTGCCACATCATTCTCCAGGGAAGTGGCTGGTGGGTAACTGAAGCCATAACCCCTGTACTGCCAGGGCTCCTTCACTAGCGGTTAGACGAATGCAAATCAAAACCACACCAAGGCAGTCCTTTATTAGTGGTGGTTGTTAAGCGCCGCTGAGTCAATTCTGACTCATAGTGACCCTGCATAGTTCCTGAGGAGTAGCTGGTGAGTGTGAATTGCCCACCCTGAAGTTCAAACTGACCTAGTGGTCCAATGCTTATTGTTGTTGTTGTTAAGTGCCATCGAGTCGGTTCTGACCCATAGCAACCCTGTATAGGGTTTCTAAGGAGCGGCTGGTGAGTTTGAACCACTGATACTGCAGCCCAGCGCATTAATTAACCTGCAGCGCCACACCAGGACTCATTAGTGGTTAGGCAAATGCAAACCGAAACCACATGGAAGCAGCACTTCACACCTTCAGAATGGCTATAATAAAAAATATGTCAAAAATATTGATGAGGATGAGGAGAAACTATTAGAACACAGAACGGGTTCAATTTCTTGGAAAGCCATTCAGTGGTCCCACAAAAAGTTAAACATAGAACTACCATATATTTGACTCCTTTAATTCCACTCCTAGGTATATACCCCAAAGACCTGAAATCAGGTGCTCATGTACCTGTAAGTTGACAGAATACAATGATAACTGTGTCAAAGTAGCAACAAGTGTTCATCAATGAATGAACGGATACAGATTGTGGTATATACATACAGTGGAATATTATTCAGCATAAAAATGAATGAAGTACAGACAATTGCTGCAGTGTGGATGAATCTTACACATTATGCTAAGTGAAGTTATAGTGATACATTCATATGAAATGTCTACATCAGATAAATCCAGAGTGAGAATGTGGATGGGATGTTGTCAGGGGCCACAGTGAGGGGAATGGGGAGAAATTACTTAATGGGTAAGGGGTATTACTCCAGAGTGATGGAAATGTTCTGGAACTATATAGGGTGGTGATTGCCTAACTATATGAATGTACTAAAATGCCACTGAATTGGTCACTTTAAAATGGTTACTTTTATGCTATGTGAATTTCAACTCAACAATTCTTAAAGAATTATGTGAGACTGGATCCATCTTTCTAAGCGTGTTTCCCCTGGAGTTAAGATTTCTGTACCCTAGTACACTTCTAATTCTGAAAGGGTGAGGTCCCAGACATTCCAAAAAAATATTCCATTTCACTTCCAAACTATGCTCCCAAATGTTCTGCTAAGTGACATGAAAAAACTGACGGATCAGAAAACTCACTTCTTTTAATACCCTCACCAGCAGTGCTTATTATCCTTCAAAAGCTTTTCTAATTTTTCAATTGAAAAACAATTTTTCTACTTTTATTTTCTGTAGCTTCTGGAAAAAACCTACCAGATGATTTTGCATGACTGGCAGACTTACAAGAGCACATTTTCAAAGCATATTAAAGTGCTTTCGAAGCTGTAGTATGACCCAAATGTTTCTTCAAGAGTAAAGCAAACAAGTACTCATTACTCAATTTGGAATGATTGTCCTTACAACACAGCTCATACAAGTACCTGGGCTGCAATTTGTGCCTCTGAAGTTGTCTCCTTTGAGTTTAAAACAGCTTTCGAAGGTGACTCCGGGGAGGAGACTGGACTTTCTGCGAACACAAGATTTTAAAGAGATAAAATTTATCTGCACCAATCTATTTCATAGCCTTAAAGCAAGGAGTAATGTCTCAGGTGGTAATGAAATGTGAACTGAAGTGACAAAATTGTGAAATGCAAAGATGATACAGTTTGATAAACGTTCATGACTCAAAGGTTTGAGAATTTTCCTAATTTAATGTGACAAGAAAATCCCCTCTTAAGGAAAATCCTTAGTTGTTTTGCCATTAGGAATGAGGAACTAATTCACATGGAAGAAGCAGCCAGCCTCAGTGGTTTCAGAGGTGAGTTCTAACCTGTTAGGTTGACGAGTTTGCCCACAAATACAGAGGAGGTTTGCATCCTGTGGGACATCATGTGGTACACACAGACCTTGGGAATTTAAAGTAAAATTAAAGTAGGCTGTAGCTGAAATCTCTGATAAGATCTGTGTTAAGGTGGAGGAAAAGTACGTATAAACTGTGGGCTGGGAGAAGTTTTTCCCCTCAGTTTTACAAATATTTGAGGTTCTCACAAACAGCTTCCAAACTATGCAATGGTTACTTGGTGTTTTCAAAACAAAAGATCCTTTGCTGTGTGTCTATGTGTATGTGGACACATAGCTAGCCATAGAAATTTATTTGTGTATACTAAAAATACTTTAAAAGCTTGTTTTTTTTTTAAATGAACTTCATTATAGAGATACAATCTACATATAGTAAAATGCATCCTTTCAAGTGTATATCATACAGAGCAAGAGGGGAGGGAGGAGGGACAGAGGGAGAAGAAAAGGAGCAGTGAAAGGAGAAAAGCAGATTTGGAATAGGGAAAATGGGTGGGAGGGAGGAAGCAAAAGGGAGTGGAGATGAAGTTGAGACTGGTTTGAAAAGAACTGGCAAGCGTTTATAAAGGGGATGGTAAGAAATGGGACTTCAGGTTAGAACAGTGAGGACTGTGTTTGAAGAGTAGAATGAAGTCAGAACATACCTAATAAGCAGTATATATCCTTGTAAGTCCATCGTGTGCCCAGTGTTTAATAGTTTATGATCTCCCCACATGAAATTCCTCTTAAAGCTTTTTTTTTTCTTTTCAGTCACAGAAATTATCAAAATTCTGCACTGCTTTATTGCGCATCTATTCACTTTATTTGCTTAGTAATAAAAAACCTTTTAAAAATGTATTTTATTGTTTGTTATTGAGAATATACACGGTAAGGCAGAAAAGACTTTTTGTGAAGATTTAATGATGCTATACTTTTAATTCTAAGAGAGTGCATAGTCTTTTTATACTGGCTGAATTTTATCAAAACTAGATCAGTAAAATCTTTATCTGAAGGTTAATCATCAGATGGCACATGGATAAACAACTTCCTTTAAATTTTCAAATGAACAGTTTTCCACACAAAAAAATACACTCTAACAAAAACAAAAAAACCACCTGTCCACAAATAACATTCTTTCTTTCAAAGTTATATGTCAACAAGCCCTTGTAAATAAAATAGGTTAAGACAGACACTCAAACATTGTGATAACAGAACAAAACTCCCAGGCCTTTCATGCTAACCTTGTTAATTGCTTATATGTAACTCCATCTTTTATCAAAGTACTAAAGTATGGCAAGATTGAAATCAAGGAAGTTATGGAAAACAGGCAGAATGGAAACAAGAGACGATTTGTATGATGCAGTTGATATTGTTCAGAAATACCACACTATTAATGGGAAAAATTATAACGTGAAAAGGGCCCTTTCTAAGCAAGAGATGCAGCATGCTGAAGAACAGAGAGATCGTGGAGGTGCATCTGGCAACTTTATGGGTCATGGAGGAGTTTGGAGGTGGTGGAGGGAACTATGGTAGAAGAGGAGACTATGGTGGTAGAGGTGGTGGCCACAGAGATAGTTACTGAGGAGGTGATGGCAGATAAATGGACTTGAAGGTGATGGTGGCCACTATGGAGGTGGTCCTGGTTGTAGTAGTTGAGGGGGCTCTGGTGGCGGTGGACCAGGACATGAAAAACACAGTGGTGGATATGGTGGTGGTGGTGGAGGATGTGATGGTTAAAAGTGGAGAAGGAGGAATTTGTGGCAGAAGCAAGAAATCTATCGCTTTCTAGTCCGGGACGCTCAGCTGCTCCAAGAGTCACCATCTTGGGTGAGACCAAGCGGGGGAAGGATCAGAGCGGCCACAGACGCCTGGCAGAACCGCTGAGATAAAGGTGTGGACATTCTTTTCTTTTGGTATCTGTTCATTGGTCCCTTGCTGTCTGCGCACCTCCATTCTGGTGACTAT